ATAAAAAACTAAGATTCGCATTAATATGATTTGCCATTTAATTTGGCGGTCACATACTATAGAGTTTTCCCGGTCCTGCTGAAATCTATTACCAAATTTAGAAATTATGTATGCAGATTATTAGCCGGCTAACATCACTAGCTTGGAAATCAATCAGATTATAAAAAAATTATTAGTGAACACATTTCGTTTACAAGTACTCCAAACCTTGATGAGGGTGGTTATGAAGAACTAAAACAACAAAGCCAACAAAATGAATATTATAGAAGTTTTACAATTGCAAAAAATTCTTCTAGTCCTTATTATAGAAATCAGATTGACATCATGAATTCCAAATGTCATTATGATCTCAAAACAAATGTAACAAAATTTAAAGAAATTAGTATTTTAAAAAATGGATTTCTATATAATTCAACAGAACAACGTAAAAATTTTTCTGAATTCTTGATTGAAGATTTGAAATCAGATTCACAAATACTATTTATTTTTTCTAAACTGCAACAACCAGGTTTCCCAAACATGTATAAACCAATTCCTTATGCAGAGCATATAATGTATGAAGCTTCAAAAATCATCAATCAGCTTGATTTATCATATATTGCAATACATTGGAGAATGGAACAAGCAGTACCCAAAAATCTGCCAAATTGTGCCAGAGAATTAGTTAAAACAATACAAAAAATAAAAGAAAATACTGGAATAAATAATGTCTATTTAACAACTTATTTCCCCTTAACTTACAACAGAAATGGCAGTATAAGTATAACTAACAATGTTCTTGACATTAAACCACAATCTAACTTCTTCAATAAAAGACATCAAAACTGGGAAATCTTTAAATGCTTTTGGATATTTAAAATATATTTGAAAAGAAAAGAAAAATAAAGAAAATCTTTTATTTAATGAATTAAAAGGTCCAGGTGTACAAGGAATATTAGATATAAATTCAAATTATTTCTTGAGTGGACCAAGAGATTGCTGTAGAACAATATCTATTTTTACAAAACAAATTGCAAATTCAAGAAAACAATTATTGGATGAAGGAAATATAACATATTAAATGATATTACAAGGTGGGAATATACTAATTAATTTTAATATTAATAATTAATAGAATAATTTTTTATATAGAAGAAATACATTAGCATTGTAATATACATATAAAGATTGACTTATTATTGTTGTTAATAATGAATAGTAAATAATATGAAATAAAACTCAAGCAATTCTTAAAAAATTTTATTTTTTCTCTTAAAGAGAAAAACGTTAAATATTAATTGCAATTTTTCTTTGACTTCGAATAATGAAGAATTCCTTTTATACCACTATTTTGCAAATGATGTTTTTTATTTTTTATTTTTTTTTTTGTCAAAATTTTCAAACTTGATTGGCACTCAACACCTTTAATGATTTTATTAAAAACATAATAGTAGTATTAATAGAAAAAACATTGAAAATAATAGTAATAATTTACTCAATAATAATAATGGTGAACAATTAACTAGTGAAGATATTGATATAAAATGAATAACGAATAATTCGAATGAAACGAATAATGAATAATTATAATAAAACTAATTTGTATTACGAATAGAAACTCTAACTATAGCTTTTTTTACGAGTATGTATGATTTTTGTATTGTCATTCTAAGTAATGCAGATATATACATCCAACTAAGTATAGTGATGTTAGCCGGCTAAAAGAAATTTCTTTTGACATTCATTTTACGTCTGGAATTTTAGTTCAGGATTCAATGGCATAGGCATTTAGTTGAGATGGGTCTACATACATTACTTAGAATGACAAAAAAACATACATTTACTCAAAAAGCAAATACAATACATCATAGCAGGATAAAAGTCATAGAGTTTCTATTCTCAATACAAATTCTTATTTTAATTCGAATTATTCGTTTTATTGAAGCTATTAATATTCGTTCTATTCGAATTATTTGTTATATTCGAATTATTCATTTTATTCGTTTATTCGAATAAAACTTTCAATGTAATTCGAATACTCAAAATCATAACGAATGAAACAAATAATTTAAACCATTAAAGGCGAGATATTATAATAACAATAGTAAATAATAGTAATAATAATAACGATAGTAGTAGGTAATAATAATACGAGCAAGCTTAGTACCATCTGAAAAGGGTTTTCATCAACTGGGGTTTATTAAGTCCTTAGTCGGCTAAGAGTTGTTCGGCTTAGCCGACTAAGGTTTTTCTATCGGCTAACGTCACTAACTAAGTGTCTATGCAAATGAATTCTTCACTAAAATTCCAGACGCAAAGAGAAATTTATTATTATTATTATCATCA